CAATTTAGTTCTAAATTATGTTTTTTGTTAAGTAAAACACAAATAATATATCTAAGGATCTGTACCCAGACCACGACAAAGGAAAGGAGAAAAGAGAAAAGCAGAAAATAGAGGTAATAGCCATTACTATGTGATTTTTATGTGGTAAATAACAGGTTCAACCATGTTCAACCATGCAGTTTTCCTTTGCTAGTCCAGCAATGCAGGTCTTAACATGAAGTTCACTGATGTCCTTGCCTTTTAGGATTTAGTTGCATGCTTGCACGGAGTTAGAGCTCCTGCCAGACGTCTGACTCTGTGTGGAGTTACTATGGCTAGAATCACTTTTAGTCTAAGATGACAGAGCTTCATGTCCCAGTGATTAACTTTTTTTTTACCAAGGTGACCTTTCCGTTTCTTAGCAATAGAACTTTTCACCAAGACTAATCTTTTTTTCCCCTTTTTTTCTTTCATAGTCTATTGTCAAGTCGGTTTCCATATAACACCCAGTGCTCATCCCAACAAGTGCCCTCCTCCATGCCCATCACCCCCCTTCCACTCCCCCCACCCCCATCAGCCCTCAGTTTGTTTTCAGTATTCAAGAGTCTCTCATGGTTTACCTCCCTCCCTTTCCCCAACTATTTTTTTCCCCTTCTCCTCCCCCATGGTACTCTGTAAGTTTCTCCTGTTCCACTTGTGGGTGAAAACATATGGTATCTGTCCTTTTCTGCCTGATTTATTTCGCTCAGCATAACACCCTCAAGGTCCATCCATGTTGCTACACATGGCCAGATTTCCTTCTTTCTCACTGCCATGTAGTATTCCATCGTATAGATAAACCACATCTTTTTTTTTTTAATTTTTAATGTTTTTTTATTTATTTCTAGGAGAGAGACAGAGAGACAGCGTGAGCAGGGGAGGGTCAGAGAGAGAGGGAGACACAGACTGAAACAGGCTCCAGGCTCTGAGCAGGCAGTCAGCACAGAGCCCGACGCGGGGCCCAAACCCATGAACCGCGAGATCATGACCTAAGCGAAAGTCGGACGCTCAACCGACTAAGCCACCCAGGCGCCCCAAACCACATCTTCTTGATCCATTCATCTGTTGATGGACATTTAGGCTCTTTCCATGATTTGGCTATTGTTGAAAGTGCTGCTATGAACATTGGGGTACATGTGACCCTATGCATCAGCACTCGTGTATCCCTTCACCAAGACTAATCTTGGAGCATCATTCACCATAATAAGCCATAATGATATACTGTTTATTAATAAGGACATAGGCAGCCAGAATTGGTGTGAAGGTTAATGGTGTACTTGGAATGTTTACTAGAGAACTCTTTATAATCTCCTTCACCTCAACTACTGTAGTCACACCATGGCATTTGGTCTTTCTCTCTTAAATTTAGCCTGAATGACATAATTGTTTTGGAACTAGATGCTTTGGGTAACCCAATAGGTTTACGTTTTCAGCATTCACCGCTTGCCTCTCTACAGTTTCCATTACAAGAATCCATAGGAAAATTCATCCTGTCCACAGCGATGATGACCTTGTGAAAAACACACATACCCTGGTCATAAACAGTAGCTCCTTGTAGGCTTGGCTCTCAGACCACAAGAAGCAGTATTTGTTGAATTGAAGATAGGCCTGCAGCCCTCTGGAGCTACTTGCACATAGACTCGCAGAGTGTAACGTGCTCTTGTTGGAAGTAATGGTGCAGATCGTTGCATACATGGCACAGGGTAAGAGAAGATCAGGGCTCTCAGGAGCATCCAGCAGACCTTCATACTGCTCAGTGGCCAGGATGGCATTAGTCTGGTACTGTGGTGCAAGTGGTTGGACATGTTGGTCACGTTCTAGGGCAGGGACTCACACAGAGGGATGCTGCAGGCCGGCGCCAGGGATCCACAGCAGGCAGAGCACAGTAGGGTCAGCAGCCCAGCCGAGCCCACAGTTACATCCTTCCTGGGCTAAGGCAGACCATGATTGTGGCAGGATGGGGCACAATGCAGCAGTGTCTAGCACTGTCTCCTCCTGCACTGTAGACTTGGTCTGTCCATGAGAGGAGGTGAATTCAGGATCCTTCTATATCACCATTTTGAGCTGGAGTAGATGAGATTTTTTTAAAAGAGTTCTATTAAGTTATGCCTCTAGAATCAAGGCTTCTCATTTTAGTGTTGTCTTTTGGGAAAAAACAAAAACAAAAAAACCCACCACCATGATATATTTACTCCCAGGATAAATGGGACTGATTTCCTCCTGGACAAGAATAAATATGGACAACACTACCTACATGTGAGCTTAAGAACTAGGACTAAGAAAATACATCCTAAGCCAGAGACACATAGCTGGACAGGAACTTAAGACAACTCTGCAGATCCCTAACCACACTCTTCTGCAATAGACAGGTTCTCCAAAGCAACTAGTGGCTGGGTGTTAAACAAAGAAAATGACCAATGTTAAAAACATATCACACAACTTGCTACTCCTCACTAATCTCTCCTCCCCCACCCCCCCGAAAAAAAAAAGACTCCACACTCACATAACTAAACCTACAATTCTCAGAAATCATCAACTATGATTTCTATAAAACTATAAGTTTTCCATTGTCCTTTCTGCATATGTCTCAGTTCTTTCCATTGGCCCTATACCACTAGGCAGTGGGCCGTTATTGACATACATCCCCTTCAAAGGTGCCTTTAAAATCCAAGTTTGGGCATGTAACTAATACCTGGCCAATCTGTATATTTCAGCCTGGTAACCATGGGAAAACCTGTGTGAACCAAGTTGATACAAAGGCCCAAGCAACGGACATTTTTGTGTGAATTACTAGGAAATAGAGAAGCTCTCTTTTCACGGAGATTGCCAGGTAGAACAATATGTGCTGGGAACTTCTGAGTGCCATTATGGGGAAGAAGGTGGTTACAGCAGTTAGCATACCTTCAGGAACATGCACAAATATATACAGAGAGTAATGTAGTTCAATGTACCTCTCTGCCCAGTGGTTTGAGAAGAGTGGGATTTCTTGTCTGTGTTTCCATTTATTTTTTAATTTGTGTGTGTGTGTGTGTGTGTGTGTGTGTGTGTGTGAAAGAGAAAGAGGGAGAGAAAGAGAGAGAACAAACAGGGGAGACAGGCAGAGGGAGAGAGAGAGAGGACAATTCCCAGCAGGCTCCATGCTCAGCACAGAGCCCAACATAGGGCTCGATCTCACAACCCTGGGATCATGACCTGAGCCAAAATCAAGAGTCGGATGCTCAACTGACTGAGCCACCCAGGTGCCCCTATGTTTCCACTTTAGAAACTTTACTTACGGATATACCTTTTTTGGAAGAGGTCTAAAAAAATTTCAAACTAGTAATTATTTTAAAAAGAGTTTAATTTCACTTTCATTACTTACCACAAAATTAAAAAAATACTAATATACAGACAAGAGCAAGTAAACTGGAAAAGAGCTAAAAAATGTATAAAAGACAAAGCTAAGCACAGGAATGTAGGAGCAGTGACACATATATCATATACACTCAAATGAATTCAGAAAGCATATTCCAGGTTAGACTAAAGTCTAAAGTCACCTTTTACTGGAGCCACATCTGGAAAGCTCCTTAAACCAAAGTTCTCATATTGTATGTGATGCATCTTCCCAGGCGTGTCTTAAAAAGCATTTCTCATAAAACAGCCCACACTAGAGACACAGTCCTAATCTAAACACAAGTCATAAATGCCTCTCCTAGGCCCCATGGAACTTGAAAAATTAATGAAAACTCAGCACTACAGAAATGGAAAAGTGACACCTAGTGGCCACTTGGCAGTTTTCCATTACGGCTTCCCTGCCTTGCCCATAACGGTGCTTGGCAAGTCTGAATTTCCAGTTCCAGAGCCAAACAATGACCTACCTTTTATTTTTTTTTTATTTTTTTTAAATATTTTTTATTTATTTCTAGGAGAGAGAGAGACAGCGTGAGCAGGGGAGGGTCAGAGAGAGAGGGAGTCACAGACCGAAACAGGCTCCAGGCTCCGAGCTGGCAGTCAGCACAGAGCCCGACGCGGGGCTCGAACCCACGAACCGCGAGATCATGACCTAAGCGAAAGCTGGACGCTCAACCGACTAAGCCACCCAGGCGCCCCTTAGATACCCTTTTAGAGCAGGATCTGAAATGACCCTGTTAAACATGGTCCAATAACTAGGTAGTGGTTATTTAATTCACTGTGCCCAGACTCTACAGAATTCCTCAGAGTATGACTAATAAATATAGCCTTTCCCATTAAGAAACTGTAATGAAAGACCTTAATCCCACTTATTTACCAAAAGCCTTTATACTTTATTTTCTTGTCTTTAAATTTCTCAATGGATTTCCAAATTTAGTGACTACAATAGGGTGTCAACTACATCCCAAGTTTTATTTGATTTCAGGCTATCATCATCTAATAAAATATCTGATAACATTTTCAGGTTTACTAATTTCAAAAAAGTGTTAAATTTGACGCATGGATAGAGATTCAGTTATTGTACTAAATCAACGATAAACAATTGTTCCTTAAAGAATAGCATTTAGAGGTAAATATCATAGTTATGGTATAACCTTTGGTTTATTTCAATAATGTCCACCTAATAAAATGTTTTAGAGCAGCACTGTCCAGTAGAAATAGTGTAGGCCATACATGTAACTTAAAAATTTCTAGTAGCTACATTAAAAAAGTAAAATGTTAATGTTTTATATAATTCAGTATGTCCAAAATATTTGTCTAAGTGATCAATATGAAACTGCTTTTTGAAAGATTTTTTTTGTGTTTTATTTTTGAGAGAGCCTAAGTAGGGGAAGGGTAGAGAGAGGGATACAAGAGAATCCCAAGCAGACTCTGTGCTCTCAGCTCCCTACATGGAGCTCTAAGTCACAAACCATGAGATCATGACCTGAGCCAAAATCAAGAGTCAGATGCTTAACTGACTGAGTCACCCAGGTGCCCCTTTATATATTATTTTTAAATTTTTATTTTTTTAGTAAGCCCTACTCCCAACGTGGGGCTTGAACTCAACCCCAAGATCAAGAGTCACATGCTCCACTGACTCAGCCAGCCAGGCACCCCATTATAAAAGTGTTAATGTGATATTTTGTATTCCCTTTTCTATACTAAGTGCATGAAGTCTGGTATGCATTTTGACATTTACAGCCTATCTCAATTTGCAGTAGCTACATTTCAAGTGTTCAATAGCCACAACATGGCCTGTATCTATCATACTGGATTGCATGGTTCTAGAATCTGACCCTAATGCTCAAGTCCTCTGGATTAGAATCACAGAATCAGAACTGGAAGTAAACTTAGAGATCAAGCCTCTTGCTACAGATGAGGAGTCTAAGGTACAGAGTATTTAAATGGCTTATGTGGGGTCACACAGCCTAATTTAAGCTGTGAGAAGGCTCTTCAGTTCTAGGCTCTTGTCCCACTCCCCTCCATTATTGTAGGTAATTCTTAAAAAAAAAAAATCAGAGTATTCTTTGTATGATTTCATTCAACATACAGACGTTCGAAATTACAGGAAATGCAAGAAATTATTGCATGGAAGAAAAAAGTAGTTATAGGGCAAACCATAAAAATATCACTCGTAACAACAATTCAACATAAATGCAACACACTTTGGAGAAAATCCTAATTTGGGGAGAGCTACAGTTATCATATGCTGTGTGGACTGGATTCTGGATCCAGAACAAGACTTACAGAAAGACACTAGAGTTGGTTATTAAAGGAGTCAGGCATTCAATTGGCTATCTGCCCACTGTTCTATGGAATAACCCTTCCTCTTCAAAGAGAAAAGACTGCTACTGTGCCAGGCAGCAATGGCCTGCCTCTAGAAACTCTGCCTCCCAGATCTGTGCATCATAAAGCCTCTCCACCTTCAAGGCCATCCAGCCACAGTGACCCATCTTGCTGTCAGTGGCTGAGTTCAGCTCTGGAGGCGAGGCCCAACTGGCAATGGGTTAGCCCCCTAAAATGTTACGTTGGTAAGACTTCTGACTTAGAGAACAGCAGCTCATTCCTGCTTCTTCAGATGTAACCATCATGCTTCGGCTGCTGCAAACCGCTCTACCTCATCTCGTAGGGTTTCTTTGGCTTATTCTACACCTGAGTGTCTCTCAAGTTCCAGAACCAGGAGTGGGGCTGACCTTCCAGTATTGCTGGAACACTCTATCCACTGCAGGACACGGAGATACACCCTTGCCCACGTAGCAGCTGCAGCTGTCCCGCTTGGAGGGAACATGTGCTTTGGCCTTTTGCCTGTTGGTGTTTTTGCCATTAACATGACTGACAAAGGTTCTAATCTATTACATACAGCCTAAAAAATATGCAAGGTCAAAATAATGCTTTGTTTTGGGGCGAGGCTCTGAGGGAGATCTGCTGGAAGGTATAGCACCACCTAGAGGAAGAGAACGGCATTGGCTCCCCTACATCAGCCCCAGGCTTCTCCATTAGCTTCCTGGCCTACCTAACTTTAATTTGTGGGGCACCAAAGAAAATATATGGAAACACACTTGGTACACTAGAAAGAGCAATCAAAACATAAGGTTTGACGAACGTATGATCTTCAAAAAGGTAGATATACATAATATTATCTTAAATACTCTTCTTGGACTTAGTTTAAGCCACCTCTCAGTTACTAGGGCAAAAAATCTCCAAATTTGTGATCACAGCTAGAAAATTGGATTTTAAATTCTTTCTCATTGCCTCATAGTTTCAAAATTATACTGAGCATTTATATAACTACCTTTGGCTCCAGGCAGCAGTAACTGTAATAGCCTAATCTGGATGGCCACAACTAGTTCCTGGGTCAGTTAACTGATCACATAACCAACGACACCAATGCTTTCCCAAATGTGTGTAAAGAAACTGGTTTATACACATTACACATTTCAAAAATATGCATTTAATTGCAACTTGACACAAGACATTTATCCTGCTTGGGCTTGTTTTTCCCTCCATGGCTAATCGTTCACTAAGCACCTTTTGTGCATCAAAAACTGGTTTTATATGTAATGAAAATCTTAACTGGTTATATTAACAGTGATTCTTACATGCAAAGGTTAATTACCAAGATCTAGGTTTAAGGTCTTCTGTTGGCAAAGTTGAAACCCTCCCAGCTTTTTTTTTCCCCCTGAGTTTTAAATAAATCATCTCATTAATGTCTACCTCAAGCGCTTAACTAAGTAAGCATAACTATCCTGTACCCAAGTCTACAATGACCGAATACCATATTCATTACAAGTATGACTACCAATTATATCATCTCTTAAATGTTCAAGTGATCAGTTTTCTTAAAATGTTTAAGCCCTATTCTCAACTAAGGAAATAGACAAGAAATGGAGATGTTCCAATTTCCATAAATCCGCTATTATAAATCAATTATAAATGAATCTTAGACAAAACATATTAAATTCCCCAAACTTAAAAATTGCATGAGAAAATAAAAACAAAATCAAAACAAGATGTATGTGATATTCTTGGTTAGAAATATTTTAGCGAAAATACAGCAACGAGTGGGTTTTAGGCCGTTTCACCGAGCCTAGGGATCTGTGGGAAACACGGAGTCATTCTTTGTGAAGGGAAACCTCACGTTTCCCCATACTGCTGTGAAAGGGGCAAATCTATAAAAATTGGTAGAAAGGGGCAAACCTATAAAATAGGAAGAAAAGATAAGAACAGTATCAACACAGAGGAGAAGATTATACAGTTGTGGGGTTTTTTTTGTAAATGAAATGCTTTATCACATTGCTCATTTTTCGAGTTAAAAAATCAAATGCTAGAGTGTCCAGTGGATATCACTGAAGTCCCCAGGGTCTCCTAGGCCCCCCTCTGCTTCAAAGTAATTCATGAAGGCAGCCATGGCTGTGTCGTCATTGTCACACAGGGCATCAAAATCCAGCTGGGCACCTTCGCCTATCAAATTAAAATAGAGACTCATGTAAGTACATTTGGAGGTTAAAAGATGAGTATCATTAAAAATGACAAAGCAAGCAAAAACAGATAAATCAAAAAACAGAGTCTTAACTACAGAGAACAAATTAATGGTTACCTGAGGGGAAGAGGGTAAGGGGATGGGTGAAATAGGTGATGGGGATTAAGGACGGCACTTGTTGTGACGAGCACTGAGTCACTATACTATACACCCGAAACTAACCACTGTATGTTAACTAACTTGAATTAAAACCTTTAAGAAAACTAAAAAAAAAAAAAAAAAAAAAAGGCAAGAATACGATACAATGTAATTTTGCAGGCAAAGCCTACGTCTTAAATTGCAGAAGGCAGATATATTTTTAAACGGGTCGCCTATTTTTGTAACAATGTGCTGTCACAGAGATCGCACATAATTCACTTGATGCATGTAAGTGAGCCAGTCTGAGTTTTCTAATGGAAAATGATGGTGGTAAGAGACAGTTGGAAGCCAGAGGACAGCGTTTATGTATGTGTCTGTATAGAGCCTGGAAGGATAGATTTAACCTTAATCTGCCTTGTGAAAAATACAGTATCCATATGATCGGAATGAGAAGATGGATACAAAAGCATCATCTTCTTCTGAAAATCTGAAAATATTATAAAACGGGAAATGCCCAGATTTTTTATTGAAAAAGGAAATAAGAAACCATAGAAGTGAGTTTTAAGATAGATATAAAGAAAAAGTTCTAGAAATTATAGGTTAACACACAGCTACAGATTAGCCAAAATTTTCTAGAAATCTTTCAAAGTACAAAATTTGCGATGATTAATATGTGGCTCTGTGTGAAGCTGAAGTCCAGTTTCTTTCAAGTTCTTTGATTCCCTTTAACATACATTTTTAATAGATCAGTGTTAGCTATGTATGGTATAAAACTGCATACTTGACTTGAGTCTGCAAAAACATAGTGAAAATGAATAATTACATCTTAAACACTTTGTGACTGGTATCATTTAAAAGTTCTGATTCTTGGCAATGGACATTTCCCTCCTAGAAAAAAGTATCTTAGTTTTATTTAAATTGTTTGTGTTAGCGATGGCCATAACTGATTCAGTTGATAACTGAATTTGCAATGACAGGTGCATTAGGTAGCATACACCTTAAAGTCAGGAGTATGATTCCTTGTATTTAGGATTTTGAATGGACAAATCTTAGTTTTAAAATCCTAGTTTTAACTATTTGCTTCTCTAGAAGTCTCCTAGGTCTGCAAATATAATGATTAAGAAAATGTTAGGAAAACTAAGATGGTAGGCAGGTGCCAAAGAAAACCTACCGAGAAGTGGCTCGTGACTGTGGGGAGGAACGGCACTCTGGTTTTGCCGTGTAGCCTCTGGGTCCCTTATTTCAGAAGCATTTCGTGGAATCAACTCCTTATTTGACATCTGCAAAGACAGGATAATCAACAGTAAGGTTCCTACTTGAATGAAATAAAGACTTCTTAGCAACAGTCAGATGTGGGCTTGCTGGCCGTGCCACCGCCGCCACCATCAGTGTGACAGCCTGCAGTTGCTGAGCACGGTGTGCCAGGCCTCCACAGGCACCCTCTCCTTTCATGCCTCCAACGTTGTGAGTGAGGTCAGGAGTCTGAGGGCTAAAGCTTACGTGAAGTGTTGCCGCCATTATTCTAACCCATCCACTTGACTCCAAAGGCCACATTCTTCATAACCACAACTGAATGTACATACTATAAGGACAAGTTTTGGATTAAGAAGGAAAGGCTATTTTTTTAAAGAAAATGATCACAAAACTATATCTCACATGAAATTACAATGGGAAATGGTGCTTTGGAGTGGGAAATGGATTAAACTCGAGGCTTTTACCAACAAGTTATCATATTGTTGCATAGTCACAACCCAAACAATTGAATGTCTTTTTTAAAATGTTTATTTACTTTTTCGGGGAGAGAGGGTGAGTGAGCAGAGAGAGGAAGACACAAAATCTGAAGCAGACTCCAGGCTCTGAGCTGTCAGCACAGAGCCCGACATGGGGCTCGAACTCATGAACCATGAGATCATGACCTGAGCCGAAGTCAGACACTTAACCGACTGAGCCACCCAGGTATCCCACAATTCAATATTTAAGTTAGCTCATCAACATACATCATTAACCAATATAATATCCCTGACAACTTAATGAGCCTGGAAATTGCCCTCTGATCACATCTCCTTTTCTCCTCTGCTAAAGTAACCACTGTCTTGAGTTTTACGTCGATCATTTTCTTGTTACTGAACAGATGAGGAAATTGAGGCCCGGAGTTTAAACAGCAAGCCTGTGGTTGCCCAGCAATAAGTGTCTGAGTCACAACTTGGATACAGATAGTACATGTCCAGCAACCTTGCTGTCAACCACTATTCTATGTTGCCTCTTAAAATCTGTGGAGTTTATTTTTACAGGACAGTATCTTTTCTAAGAAGAAATAATTAAGAAAGAACAAATTTCATCCACTTATTTCATGAATATTAACGCTTATCATACTTACTTTCCTGGAGTTTATAGCGTGAGAATCTTTCATGAAATCTGCTGGCCTTGAGTCCTCAAGGGAGGTAGGAGACTGTAACCTTTACAAAGTGACACATAAAAATTTTCTCTATGTACAAGGTAATTTTCTCCTCTGAATACATAATCGACTGATAAAAATACAGTGAAAACCAGGAGACTGAATATCACAAAAGTTTTTACAATTAGACTAACTTGTTGAGTGCCATACGTCTTACTACGGACTACTGAAAAACACCCTCTGGTAAATAGAAACCTAAAACTCTGAGGTAAGAGCTCTTAGGTAAATCATGTTGCCTGTCTTACATAGCATCTGGCAAAGTTAGAATAGCAACACAGTTCAAGACAGGCATTCACATCGAGAATTCATTCCTTGTCAGTTCCTTATGAACAGCAGAACTGAGAGTAAGAGATTTCCTCACATCCTGCAACCTTTTTAAGTGAAAAATGGTCACATTTTTACATAATAAGTTATCCCCAGGTACAAAAATCAATGAAACATAAAACAACATAAAATCATATGCTTTAATCATAAATCTCTTAAGAGAATATCAGTCTCTTCAAAACTTTGACAGTATCCTATAAAATTAAGTGCTCAATTATGTGAAATTCATAATGGCATTAACATTACTGTGTCTTTATGTATTCTCAAAAAACTGGTTGACAAGAAATTATAGAGGAAGAAATTAAAACTGGAATGAAGTGAATTAGTTATGAAACAAATGAAAAAAATCGATAACCTGTCTTGGATTTTTCATAGGACAGTCCCTGTAAATAGCTTCCCTGGCTTCTCATTCTATGGTTCGTTGTTTAAAACCATCACCTGCTCAATTAGCCTTGGTTTAAAGGTGCACCCAACCCCCATGCACCTCATTACCACATTAACCTAAACTACTGCTTCATATTAGTCACCTGCTATTTAAGTGCATCCACCACTTGACCTCACCTTGGTTAAAACCCCCCACTGCTCAGCACCCCAACTTCTCTCACAATCTGGTCTCTTTGTGATGCTGAAACCACCATGCCTTCTCCCACCGATCCCCATTCACTGGCTGAGGTGCCCCCATGTATCTACATCCTCCTCACTGCTTCCTAGACATTCTATTCAGCTCTCAGTGTACGGCTCAAGTTCTACTTGTCCTAGAGTGCCCTTCTAGCATATATGGTCAAGTGATTTTCAACAAGCTGTCAAGACCATTCAATGGAGGAAAGGACAATCTTCAACAGATGACATGGGAAAACTGGATGTCCACATGAAGAAGAAAGTTGGACTCTACCCTATACATATACAAAATCAACTCAAAATGGACCGACACCTAAACATAAGACCTAAAATGATAAAACGCTTAGCAGAAAACTGGAAAAGCTTTATGAAATTGGATTTGGCGATCATTTCTTAGATGGTGTCAAAGCACCACCACAAAACTAGACTATATCAAAATTTAAAAATTTTGGGGGCGCCTGGGTGGCTCGGTTAAGCGGCCGACTTTGGCTCAGGTCGTGATCTCACGGTTCAGGAGTTCGAGCCCCACGTCGGGCTCTGTGCTGACAGCTAGCTCAGAGACTGGACCCTGCTTCGGATTCTGTGCCTCCTCTCTCTGCCCTTCCCCTGCTCATGCTCTGTCTCTGTCTCTCAAAAAAATCTTGTTTATCAAAGGACACTAGAACAGAGTGAAAAGGCAACCCATGGAGAGGGGGAAAATATTTACCAACCATGTATCTGATAAGGGGTTAATATCTAGAATACATAAAGAACTCAACAACAAACAGCCCAATGAAAAATGGGCGAAGGACCTGAATAGGTGGGGCGCCTGGGGGGCTCAGTCGGTTAAGTGTCCGGCTTCGGCTCAGGTCATGATCTTGCAGTTCGTGGGTTTGAGCCCCGTGTCGGGCTCTGTGCTGACAGCTCAGAGCCTGGAGCCTGTTTCAGATTCTGTGTCTCCCTCTCTCTCTGACCCTCTGCTTCTCATGTTCTCTCTCTCTCTCTCAGAAATAAAAGATTAAAAAAATTTTTTAAAAAAGGACCTGAATAGGTAATTTTTCAAAGAAGATCTACAAGTGGCCAATCAGCACACGAAAAGATGTTCAAAATCACTAATCATTAGGGAAATATAAATCAAAACCACAATGAGCGACCTCACACGCCTTAAGAGAACTATTATAAAAATACAGAAGATAGCAAGTATTGGCCAGGATGTGGAGAAACTAGAAAACTTGTGCACTGCTGGTGGGAATGTATAATAGCATAACTACTATGAACAGAATGGTGGTTCCTCAAAAAATTAAAAATATAATTCCTATATGATTCAGCAATTCTGTTTCTGGGTATATGTGCCAAAGAACTGAAAGCTGAGACTAGAATAGATACTTGTATACCCACATTCACAATAGCCACAAGGTGGAAGCAACACAGGGATCCACTGAAGACTAATGCATAAAGAAAGTGTGGCATATACATACAGTGAAATATTATTCAGTCTTACAAGGAAGTTCTGACACATGCTGCAACCTGGTTAAGCCTTGAAGGCATTATGCTAAGTGAAATAAACCATTCACAAAAGGACAAGTATTACATGATTCATTCATATGAGCTATACTCAGAGTAGTCAAATTCATGGAGACAGGAAGAATGGTGGTTTCCAAGCCAAGGGGAGAGGGAAATGGAAAGTTGCTGTTTAATGGGAGTTTAGTTTTGGAAGGTGAAAGAAGTTCTAGACATGGATAGTGGTGGTGATCGCACAACAACATAAATGTTTTTTTGTTTTTTTTAATTATTTCTGAGAGAGAGAGAGAGAGCGTGAGCAGGGGAGGGTCAGAGAGAGAGGGAGACACAGAATCTGAAACAGGCTCCAGGCTCTGAGCTAGCAGTCAGCACAGAGCCCGACGCGGGGCTCGAACCCACGAACCGCGAGATCATGACCTAAGTGAAAGTCGGACGCTTAACCGACTGAGCCACCCAGGCGCCCCCTGCTGTTGCTGTTTTGAACTATTGTGTCTCCATTTTCTATTGTTTCTAGTTATTATTTTATTTCCTTTTTGATTTCTTCATTGATCCACTGGTTGTTTAGCATGTTGTTTAACCTCCATGTTGTTTAGCCTCCATGAGGTTTTTTCCAGGTTTTTGCCGTTATTATAATTGACTTCTAGTTTCATTTTGTTGTAGTCAGAAAAGATGCTTGATATGATTTTAGTTTCTTTAAGTTTATTGAGAAGTTTTTTGTGCACTAGTATATAATCTATCCTTAAGAAGCCTCCATGTGCATCTAAAAGGAATGTGTATTCTGGGGTCCTGTCTGGCTTAGTCGGTTAGGCCTCCGCTCAGGTCATGATTTCATGGTTTGAGAGTTTGAGCCCCATGTCGGGCTCTGTGCTGACAGCTCAGAGCCTGGAGCCTGGTTCAGATTCTGTCTCCCTGTCTCTCTCCCTTCCTCCCCTCTTTCTGCTCGCTCTCTCTTTCTCTCTCTCTCAAAAATAAATAAGCATTTAAAAAGTAAATAAATAAAAGGAATGTGTATTCTGCTATTTGGGGATGAGACATTCTATATATTTTTTTTAATGTCAATCTGGTCTAATGTGTCATTTAGAGTCCCTCTCTTCGTTCGTTGATGTAAGTGGAGGGTCAGTGTTCCCTACTACTATGGTATTACTGTCAATTTCCCTCTTATGCCTGTTGATGTTTTCTTTATATATTTAGGTGCTCCTATGTTGGGTTTATATATATTTACAATTCCTATACCCTCTTGTTGGATTGATCCCTTTATTATTAGGTAATGCCCTTCTTTGTCAGTTGCTATGGTCTTTGTTTTAAAATTTATTTTGTCTAATAGAAGTATTGCTATGCCAGGTCCTTTTTTTTTCTGCCTCCATTTGCATGGAGTATCTTTTTCCATCTCTTTACTTTCAGCTTGTATGTTTTTAGCTCTAACGTGAGTTTCTTGTAGGCAGCATATACATCTAATCTTTTATCTATTGACTCACCTTATATCTTTTGTTTGGAGCATTTACATTTAATTACTATTTTTTTAAATGTTTATTTTTGAGAGAGAGAGTATGCAGGGGAGGGGTAGAGAGAGAGGGTCAGAGGATTCAAAGCAGGCTCTGCGCTGACAGCGAAGAGTCTGATGCAGGGCTCAAACTCATGAACTATGAGATCATGTCCTGAGTCAAAGTTAGATGTTTAACCAACTGAGCCACCCAGGCACGCCTATGTTTAAAGTGATTATTGATAAGCATGTATTTATTACCATTTTACACCTTTTTTTCTGGTTGTTGTAGTTCTTTGTTCTGTTCTTCTTGCTCTCTTCCTTGTGATTTGATGACTTTCTGTAGTGTTATGCTTGGATTCCTTTCTCTTAATTTTTTTTTGCATATTTATTATACATTTTTGGCTTACAGTTACTATGAGTTTCACATATAACATTCAATGTATACTATATTAAGTTGATGGTCTCTTAGTTTGACATTCTAATTTTTTAAATGTTTATTTTTGAGAGAGAGAGAGGGAGAGCAAGTGGGGGAGGGGCAGTGAGGGAGACAGAATCTGAAGCAGGTTCTGCACTGTTAGCACAGAGCCCAATATGGGGCTTGAACTTATGAACCATGAGATCATGACCTGAGCCAAAGTTGGACACTTAACTGACTGAACCACCCAGGTATCCCTTAAGTTTGACATCCTAAAAGTACTACATTTTTACTCCCACCTTTCATATTTTATGAATAGGACATCATATTTTATACCTTTTAATTTTTGTATCCCTTAACTAATTTTTGCTAATATTATTGATTTTCGTGTGTACTTTTTAACCAGTAAAATTTTTTCCTTTCATAATTTTCTTCTAGCCTTTTCTGATTAAAATTTTCTCTTTAACATTTCACATAAGGTCAGTCTCGTGTTGGGGAAATCCTTAAATTGTTTTTGGGAAACTCTATCTCTCTTCAGTTCTTTCTTTTTTAAAATTTTTTGTGTTCATTTAATTTTGAGAGAGACAGAAAGAGAGAGAGAGAGAGAGAGAGATAGACAGAATTTGAAACAGGCTCCAGGCTCTGAGTTGTCAGCACAGAGTCCAACGCAGGGCCATGAACCATGAGATCATGACTCGAGCCGAAGTTGGATGCTCAACAGACTGAGACATCCAGGTTCCCCTCTCTTCAATTCTTAATGATAATCTTGCTGGGTACAATATTCTTTTTTCTTTTTCCTTAAATGTTTATTTTTAGAGAGAAAGAGAAAGTAGGGGTGGAGCAGAGAGAGAGAATCCCAAGCAGACTATGCTATCAGCACAGAGCCTGATGTGGGGCTTGAATCACGAGCTGTGAGATCATGACCTGAGCCAAAATCAAGAGTCAGATGGTTAACCCACTGAGCCACTCAGATGCCCCTGAATAGAATATTCTTAGCTGTAGTGTTTTCCTTTTAGCACTCTGAATATATTATACCACTCCTTTTTGACCTGCAAATTTTCTGCTGAAAAATCAGCTGATAACCTTATGGAGTTTCCTTTATACATTTCTAGTTGCTTCTCTCTTGCAGCTATTCAAATCCTCTCTTAATAATTTAAGATGTCAAAAACTAAATATACATGTCATGGTGTGGACTTCCTTAGGCTGATCTTATTTGGGGATTTCTTTACCTTCTTAACCTGGATGTCTGTCTCCTTCCCCAGGCTAGGGAAGTTTTCAGCTACTATTTCTTCAAATAAGTTTTCTGCCCCATTCTGTCTCTCTTCTTCTGGGATCCTTGTGATGCAAATGTTTGTTCACTTGATATTGTCCAAGAGATCCCTTAGCCTGTCTTCATTTTTAAAATTCTATTTTCTTTTTGCTGTTCAGCTTGGATACTCTCCACTACCTTGTCTTTAAAACTAGTGATCCATTCTGCATCTGCTAATCTACTGTTGATTACCTCCCAATTTTTCATTTAAGTCATTGTATCCTTTCTGATTATTTTAATATTTTCTTTCAGTTTGAAGTTCTCACTAAGTTCATCCACTCTTCTCTCTCATCCAACATCTTTGTGCCCATTACTTTGAGCTCTTTATCAGGTAGATTGGTTATCTCCGTTTAGTTTCTTTCCTAGGCTTTTGTCTTGTTGTTTTGTTTGGTGCATCTTTCTGTCTTCTCATTTTGACTTGCTGTTTTTGCTTCTCTGAATTAGGTGCAACAGCTACTGCTCCCAAGCTTGAAGGAATGGGCTTATGTATGGTTGTCCTCTGTGGAGACTATGTCAGCTCCTTCTGCCGACTGGCTAGAGCTGTGGCTAGCGTGGGCAGGACTCCAGCGCACCCTGTGCTAGGGCTGTCCTGGTGGGGTCGCTGGAGACGAAGTGGGCGTGGGCCGGTGTCGTCCCAGGGCTCTCTGCACAGAGGGTGCCCTGGCATGACCGCGAGAAGAGGCAGTTCAAGCTGGGGCTCCTGGGGCTCTCCACCGAGAGGGCAGCCTGGCACAGTGGCTGCAGACAAGGCGGGGCGGAGTCTGAGGGTTCCGGGGCACACTGTGAAGATGGCACCCTCGTAGGGTGTCTGTGGCCCCAGGGTGCTATGGACTCGAGGTGCCCTAGGAAGTCCTGTAGAACTGAAGTGACTGAGGCCTAGAGTACTCGGGGCTGCTTCGGACCCGTGTCCGCTGTGCTGGGGCTGTAGTGAGCACCCACCAGGGGTGCTCTGGCATGCGTCCTACTGGGACCACCTTGGCGGTGCAGCAGGGCTGCTGGCATGGGGCTCACTGAAACCTTAGCCCAGCCAGGACCCTGCTCCCATCCACACCCTCAAGGTAGAAGGGGAATATGCACTGTGGCCATCCTCCCCTCTGACCTGGACAACGTTCCAGCAGCTCCCCTGCGATCTGACAGAGCTCTAGGCTGGTTCCTGTATATTCTAGTTGCCCTTCTAACCCGTGGCTTTTTTTGTGTGCCCCACAGCAGATGATGTGCTCACAGGCTCTCAGTCCTATCCCTTCCCACTGACGTCTGCAGTGTCAAGGGTGAGGATTCCCTTTGTTACCATGGCTCTATTTCTCTTGCTGTTCTTGATGTGGTCTCTATATCCTCAACTGTGCAGAAGCTGTTCAGTGAGCCCTCTGCTCTTCTTCAGGAGAAACTGCTCAATAAATAGGTGTAGATTTGGTGTGTCTGTGGAAGAGGGGAGTCCAGGGTCTTATGTCGTGACCTTGGAACAGAATCTCTTCCTTATGATTGTTCTGAATATTTTTTCTCTAGCATATTTTACTATAAGAAAGTATACATCTTACATACAAAATATGTGTTATTTGACCATTTATATTATTGGTAAGGTTTCTAGTCAACAGTAGGCTATTAGCAGGTAGGTTTTGGAGGAGTCAGAAATGCAGATGTTTGCAGATGCAGATGTTTGCTACTCCAAACCCCATGTTCAAGGGTCAGCTGTATATATTTTTAACTGTGAGTGGGGGTGAACAATTGTTGAAAGTTCTTGGCCATTTATACTTTTCCTATTCTACTCTCCAACTTCTTTATTATTTATTCTCGAGGCTCTTCTTAACTATTGGCTAATAACTTTATTATTTATATTCTATATAAAATTTAATATAAATGAAGGTTAATAAAGGTATAACGTTTAAATGAAGTTTAATAATGTTCTTCTGTATACTATAAAACCTTTATAGTAAGATATTAAATCCATTTTATCACATGAAACACACATTTTCTGCAATTTATTATTTATCTTTGTCAGAATGGTTATTGTGCTTGTTTTGATTTTTTATATAATTAACTTTTTCCTTCATGAATTCTAGATTTTTTGTGATGTTTAGAAAGGAGTTTCTAAACTAAGATTATAAAAATTCATACCTGTGTTCTTGAAATACTTCTTATAGTTTTTATTTAAGCTTATTTCTTTATTTTGGGGGGGAGAAGGGCTGAAAGAGAGGGAGAAAGGGAGAATCCCAAGAAGGTTCTGCACTGACAGCTGAGCTCTGACATGGGGCTCGATCTCATGAACTGTGAGATCATGATCTGAGCCAAAATCAAGAGTCAGATGCTTAACCAAAGGAGCCACCCAAGTGCCCAAAATACTTCTATAGTTTTTAAAAATTACTTTGAACTCTTTGCTTTATCTGAAATTTATTTTAACATAAAGAATAAAGCTTGTGTTTAGCTTTCCTATCCCCCCAAATGGTTATAGAATTATTATAATGCTCTTAATTATTTAATCCATTTCCATTTACTGATTTGAAATAAATTCCCACATGTGTTTAGTCTATTTCTGGACTTGATTCTTTCCTATTTATCTATTTTTGGGTTGTACTGAAATGTTTTAGTGACTATAGCTTTATAGTATATTTTAATATATGTTAGGGTTGGTCTCATTCTTATTACTTTTGGTTTTTAGAATTTTCCTAGGTATGCTAATATGGTTAGTATCATTTGTTGGATTCTTTTTTTTTTAATTTTTAAAAAATGTTTTATTTATTTTTAGAGAGAAAGAGCATGAAGCAGGGCAGGGGCAGAAAGAGAAGTAGACACAGAATCTGAAGCAGGGTACAGGCTCTGAGCTATCAGCACAGAGACCGATGTGGGGCCCAAACCCACAAACCATGATATCATGACCTGAGTTGAAGTTGGCTGCTCAACTGACTGAACCACCAAGGCGCCCCCATTTGTTGGATTCAAAAAAGCATATGCAAGATGCTGTTTTGACTGGATTCACATTGAATTCATAGGTTAGCTCAACCAACATTAACATCCTTATAGCAGTGAGTCATCCCATTGAAAAACAACTTCCATCTGGAAAGTTACTCAAGTCATCTTTTCTGAACCTTTGTAGCATTAAAAATTTGTTTTTGTATAATTCTGGGCACTTGTAAAGTTCATATCTAAATACTTACCTTTTTTAATGTTTGTTTTTTATTTTTGAAAAAGAGAGTAAGACAGAGCGCAAGCAGGAGAGGGGCAGAGAGAGAGGGAGACACAGAATCCAGAGCAGGCCCTAGGCTCTGAGCTGTCAGCACAGAGCCTGACACAGGGCTCAAACCCTTTAACGATGAGATCATGACCTGAGCCGAAGTTAGCCACCTAACTGACTGAGCCACCCAGGATGCCCCATAAATACCTACCTTTTTTGTTGCTACTGTAAAAATTATCTTCTCTTCCATTATGTTATTGAGTTTTTGTTTGCATGTAGGAAACTTACTGATTTTTGACTACTGGTATTAGAAGTATAATAATTTCACTTGCGAAGATATTTGCAGCAATAAAACATTACCTTTGTGAGTCCAGGACTTCATTTACAATATCTGTTCCAATACTACCAGCGCCACGTACTATTCCAGTTGACATTCCAGGTACACTAATATAAGATGGTTTAGAGGATTCTAAATAATAACGAAAGGGAAAATCCAATCGAAGACTTTAAAAAAGCATGTGTAACTTTAGTTGATATTTTTCTCTCAATTCAAATATATTTCCCATTTCTGTCTTTACAAGAAATAAGACTAGCTACATCCTAAAATGATAGAAACATTTATGCTTCCATTACAAACATAACTCCTGATGGTTTAAGATGTGTACAAAGAATGATAGGAGTCAAATGTGTAGAACGTCATTGAGGGTATAATCATGACCTGTAACCCTTGAGCAGAGGTAGTTCCTTCCCATTTTAATCTCTACACTAAGGCCAGAGCAATACTGCTTTATTTTTAATATTCCGTCATATTTCTGTTTTTATTTATACAAGTAATAGAATAAAATATTCCTGGGGTAAAAAACTAGAAAAAGCAAAACTCCCCCTTAATGCTTTTCATTAATTTGCTCAACAGGTAGGTCTTGAGCGCCACAAACTACAAGGAACTATGCCAGCTGCTAGGAAGAGATAATGGATAAAATACCATTCCTACTCTTAAAGAACTCGATCTAGTGGCAGGCCAGTTGGGCAAACAACTAATTGCAATACGACGTAAGATTCTAATGGAAGTGTGAGCAGAGTATCGTAGAATTTATAAAAAGGATAACTTTAGCCCTAGAAGTCTTTGCGATATTACCTTGAAATTTTTCCCTCTCCAAGACAGAAAAAGATGGTGACAATAACAATACTAAATCTTTGTCATTTAAAACCAAGCTTACCTTCTGATGATTGAGAGCTGCAAGGACGTAATGATGCTTCTCTAATCTCACTATGGCCCCTAGAATGAAGAAACACCATAGGTGACTTTTTTTAGGTGAAGGAAATTGTTAAATAAACAGAGCTTTAACGTAGCGGCTCTACCAATTCTTGACCTTTTTGTTTTATATATACATATTATTAATGTCACGACTAGAGATCAAAGTATTTATGTGCTAAGTACCAGGACACTGGCTGAATGCCCTATTACCCTATAAGGTACATTTTCTCAGTTACAAACTTTTAGTTTGTAGACTAATGATAAGAAGGCAAGGATTATTGGAATGAATAACGGCATAGTGCTGGAATGCCAAGCTTGGGGACCTTTTAGAAAACTAAATATAGTAGATATATGGGCGATGCTATCCTATTAAGCAAAACAGGGAAAGTTTGCTCTTCCTTTAAGTTAGCTGATCGCCCACTCGTGGGGATGAGCACTGGGTGTTATGTGGAAACTAATTTGACAATAAACTATTTGTAAAAAAAAAAAAATAATAAAATAAAATAAAATAAAAAATAAATAAAAATAAATTAAAAAAAGAATGATAAAAAAAAAAAGTTAGCTGATCGCCATCACCAGGGTTTGGCAAGCGGTGCTTAGGCTGGATTTGTGTGCCTATCCCTCAGCCAAACATTCCTACCCAATCACATGTGGTGCCCCACGCTTAGAAGATGTCTATAAAAATGATCTGTGGGAAAAAAATTCTTACAATGATGTATAGTTCAAAGCTACAACCACATCATTTATTCGAGGGTCAAGACAAGGCCATGAAGGATAGGAAGTGCTTGAGTGCATTTACTATCACATTTTGTACCAAGCAAAAAGAAATGTATTCCAAAAGGGAAAACTTTCAGCTTAATTCTGAGAAGTAATGCCAGTAAACAGTGAATGAATTACAAGAAGTATGTACTCAAGTTATATATATTTTTTAATGTTTTTATTTCTGAGAGAGAGAGAGAGAGAGAGAGAGAGAGAGACAGCATGAGCAGGGGAGGGTCAGAGAGAGAGGGAGACACAGAATCCGAAGCAGGATCCAGGCTCTGAGCTAGCTGTCAGCACAGAGCCCAACGTGGGTCTCGAACCCACGAACTGTGAGATCATGACCTGAGCTGAAGTCCGACGCTTAGCTGACTGAGCCACCCAGGTGCCCCTGTACTCAAGTAATAAAGCCAGATGATCATACAACTTTAATGGTTTAGCAAGACAAGAGAAGACATGACTCTTATTTGAAATTAACATAAAGGCCTTACCAACATAAAAATTACTTACAAAACTAAATTGTTGACAGACACAATATATTCCAGTTCTTTGGTCCAAGGATTTGTGAAACTAAACCACTGGCTTTTTAAAGTTACAAAAGAGCCATCTTTCTTTCTGAACTTGTATGAATCTGTAAAGATTCTCTCCTTACTCTGTAGAACTTAACGAGAAAAGATAATAATCAGCATAATGGTCTCCTGCAATATAAATCAATCCCTTGAGGATTAATTCAAGTTTCAGATTTCACAGGAATGAAAAATGAGTTGAAGCTATAATTAAAAGGTACCAAACAATTACCCCACTCATGCGTACCTGCTTTGTGCTTGTCGGTCAAATTACTATGGTCATCGTGATGAAAATATTCGTAACAAGAAGTTCCCAAAAGTTCCTGAGGCAGGTATCCTAAAATTGCTGTTGCCCTGGTTTTAAAATTGAAAATAAACTTCAGATTGGTGAATGAATTCCCTCCAGAGTAGGTCCACACACAGTCACAACAGTAGGAAAGTGACAGGGATGAAGTAAGCCATATGCATCACCGGGCCGCCTTTGGCTGCCCTGGACCCAGGCTAGAATGGACACGCCCCCCCCGCCCAATCCAGGGTAAGCTCTTTATACCATTCACCAATAAAACTGTGGCCACAGACCATGCCCAGTTTCTGTACCACTGGCTCAGAAATATTCCAAGTTTACTTTTTGTCCTGAACAAGATTACAGACATAACCACATCCTTTTCATTTAAACTTTATTTCCTGTTCTGAAGTCTTAAAAATCCAGCAGTACTATTAAGGTACATCTTTAATAGCCTTAAGTATCCCACTGAACGCTAATCATTGTGGCAATAAATAAATGTTCACCTTTGGTCTACATAGACAAATTTCCCATTCATTGCAAACCGGGTTATAAATTCAGCTGGTTTCACTTTAATCTCTCCACTGTTCTGTGGGACAATATATGGATGTAATCTTCCAATGGCAACAAGGCAGGTAAAATTACGACTGTCTTTCTTACTGTCCTTTTCTTCTTCCATCCCAACAATATTTGGAGGCCAGCTTCTCAAGTAACCAGTGCAGTGGATAGTACAAAATTTTCTATGATCTAATTCGAAAGTTAAAAAAAAGAACATTCACATTATTATGAATAAACTCTTAAATTTCTTTGACATTTATAGTTATAATTGTGCTATAAAATATTCTTGATGCTAAAATATGAAAGGGAAAAGGTATTACATTGAAAAGAAATCATCAATTACATTAAATAACCTTATTATTAATGGGTTATTTTTCTCATAAACTAAACATACTACGAAAAAAGTTAAAGGATTGCTTTAATTTAGGTCTAAATAGGCCTATAGCTAAGTAACATTCCAAGTTAGTTTTTTAAATACAGCAATTCATATCTGTTAGAAAAAGTTAAACTTGAAGTTCTCTTGCTCTTAGCCACAAAGGTACTATTTTTAGCTTTGCTAACTTTTTGGTATAATTCATATTCAAAAATTTATAAAGGACACTTAATTATGCATACACTCTTAAATTTCTTATGTTAGCACTTATACTGAGTGATAGATATCTATGGTTATAATGGATTATAAAAAATATTTAGAGAACATTTGGAGAAATTCACAAAACGTATAAAAATAGAATTTGATTTAAATGTTACTTCTCAGAAAATTCTCAAACAACTAACTCATAGGAAAAGGCTTGTTAAACAGACTCAATCAAAGTAATAAAGAATTGGAGGGGGTACCTGGGTGGCTCAGTCAGGCCGACTTCAGCTCAGGTCATGATTTCATGGTTTGTGGGTTCGAGTCCTGCACAGAGCTCTGTGCTGACAGCTAAGAGCCTGGAGCCTGCTTCAGGTTCTGTGTCTCCCTCTCTCTGCCCTTCCTTCACTCACACTCTGTCTCTCTCTGTCTCTCAAAAATAAATGAAAAGCATAAAAAATAGTTGGAAATAATCCATATACTCAAACATGAGTATGAATATGAGCTGTCAGCACAGAGCCTGACATGGGACTTGAACCTGCAAACCATGAGACCATTGCCTGAGCCTGAAGTTGGACGCCTAACTGACTGAGCTACCCAGGCGACTCTTAAATGCTTGTTTTTGAGAGAGAGCGAGAGAGCAAGTGAGCACGTGCACTCGCGCAGGAGAGGGGCAGAGAAAGACAGGAAGACAGAGAATCTGAAGCAGACTCTGGGCTGTTAGTGCAGAGCCCAGTGCAGGGCTGGAACTTACAAACCACGAGATCATGACCTGAGCCAAAGTCTGAAGCTTAACCAACTGAGCCACCCACGTGCCCATCAAATATCAGGAATTTCTTAAAACAATGAGATACGACACAGGCATAAAAGATAGGCAGTATACAGAGCATGGCAACTCACACAAAAACCCTGACCTACAGGTTAAAAAGGAGGCCGGGCGGCAGGGAAGCCTGGTAAAAATTATTTAAAACAGTTGTTTGTGATAAGATTTAGAAAAGACCAGAACACTCATTGTTTTAAATCAGCACTATTTGATAAGACTGTTATTACAACAAATCTTAAAAAAAAATAATGTTTACCAAAAGATGATGTGGGCTTTCTTGTAAGGCAGCAACTAACAGGAATAGCACAGACTTGGGGAACACTGTATGTGCCATGCTGTTTTAAGTGCTTTCGATGTATAATTAACCTTTTTAGTAGCCCTGTGAGGTGCTCCTATATTAGTGCCATTGTCTCAAGGAACTGAGGTTAATGCCAAAGTCACAGCAGAAAAGGGTGGCGCTGTGGGTGCTCTATCTTGGAAGGTGTTCGAACATTAGTTGTCTGGGTGATGGAGGGCGCAGAATACAAAAAGGTGTTTTGGTCAGAGGAATGGCCAGTGTAAACCCAGAGCAGAGTGTCAGATGTGGTTGAAGGCATGGTCTGTGAGGGGGGAGTGGTTTCACAATAAAGCAGGGAACATACAGGCTTAGCTCTTGTAAACTATGTATAGAACATTGTACGCATCACCTATCAGCCATCACCTCCTCCATGGTCCACAGATGCCTTAAATTATATATCTTCTATTCTCAAACAAGATATTTTTTTAAATTTTAGTTTCAGGTGTACAACACAGTGATTCCGCAGGTTTAAACATTATGCTATGCTCGCAAGTGTAGCTACCATCTGTCACTATACAATGTTATTACAAGATCATTGACTATGTTTCTTATACTGTGCCTTTTATTCCCATGACCTATTCATTCCATAACTGGAAGCCACTATTTTCCACTCCCTTTCCTTCATTTTGTCTGATAAACTCAACCCTCTCCTCTGTGGCAACCATCAGTTGTGTTTACAGGTCTGATTCTGATTTTGTTCTTTTTTTTTTTAAATTTTAGATTCCATATGAGTGAAATCATATGGTATTAGTTGTTCTCACTGTGACTTATTTCACTTAGAATAATACCCTCTAGGTCCATCCATGTTGTCTCAAACAGCACAATCTCATCCTTTTTCATGGCTATGTAATATTCCATGGAAATAAAAGCAAAAATAAACTATTGGGACTACACCAAACTAAAAAGGTTTTACATAGTGAAAGAAACCATTAGTACAACAGAAAAGCAACCTACTGAATTGGATAAGATATTTGCAAAAGATATATCCAAAAATGAGTTAACATCCAAAATATGTAAAGAATTTACACAACTGAACACACACATACACCAGCAAACCCAATTTAAATATGGGCAAAAAAACTAAATAGTTTTCCAAAGAAGACATACAGAGGGCCCACAGACACACGGAAAGATGCTCAGCATCTAATCATCAGGGAAATGCAAATCGAAAGCACAGTGAGGTGCACCTGGGTGGCTCAGTCGGTTGAGCGTCCGACTTCAGCTCAGGTCATGATCTCATGGTTCGTGGGTTCAAGCCCCGCATCGGGCTCTGTGCTGCAGCTAGCTCAGAGCCTGTGGCCTGCTTCAGATTCTGTGTCTCCCTCTCTCTCTGACCCTCCCCTGTTCATGCTGTCTCTCTCTCTCAGAAATAAATTTTAAAAACATTTAAAAAATTAAAAAAGCACAATGAGATACCACCCCACATCTGTCAGAATAGCTAGAATCAAAAACATAAGAAATAACCAGTGTTGGCGAGGATGTGGAGAAAAAGGAATCTCCTCATACGTGGTCAGTGGGAATGCAAATTGGTACAGCCACTATAGAAAACAGTAGTTTTTACGGGGCGCCTGGGTGGCTTAGTCGGTTAAGCGTCCGACTTTCGCTTAGGTCATGATCTCGCGGTTCTGGGTTCGAGCCCCGCGTCGGGCTCTGTGCTGACTGCCAGCTCAGAGCCTGGAGCCTATTTCAGAGTCTGTTATCTCCCTCTCTCTCTGACCCTCCCCTGCTCATGCTGTCTCTCTCTCTCTCTTCCCTAGAAATAAATAAAAATAATAAAAATAAAAAAAATAAAAAAAAGAAAACAGTAGTTTTTTGAAAACTTAAAAACAGAAACATCATATGACCTAATAATTCCACTATTTAATGAAAACAAAAATACTTATTTGAAAGAATATATGTGCCCCCATGTCCACTGCAGCATTATTTACAATAGCCAAGATATGGAAGCAACCTAAGTGTCCATCAATTGATAAATGGATAAGGAAAAAGTGAGATAGACACACACACACGCACACGCACACTGGACTATTACGCAGCCAAACCACATCTTTATCACTTACTCCCCATTCTGTTTGTTGGCACCATAATTAACCCAAGTGGTTAAATGAGAAGCCTAGAGTCCTACCAAGTTCTTTCATTACAACATCCAAGATAGCATAAAGGAATTAAAACTATGATAAGTGGTAAAAACAAATTTTACTAATATTAAAACCAGATAGCAATCAAAAGTAAAAAAGCTTATATACACTGCATTTGGCATTTCTGATGACACTAGCTTGCAAATTTACACATGATACTGACTAAAAATATTCAATTAAAAATGTGGATTTAAAAAAGTGTCACATTCATGTGAAATCTCACCACATAGAACCTAGCATTTCATTGTTTCTTCTCTAACAACAGGGTTGCCATCCAAATTTCCAGCTTAATCTCACAATCCTCACTGTGAATATTTATTTATTGACACATTTTCAGTTGGGATTATGTAATTCCATCCAGTGTAATCCATTCAATCAATTGTCTAAGGTATTTAATCTCATAAAAACCCTCTTATTTCAAGAATTCTTTAGATTTTTACCTAAATATTGGGGTCATGGGTCCCAATCCTTACAAAACTATTCACATCAGCTCCATAGAGTAGATTCAAGTATAACCTACTCCATGATTTTTGAAGAGGGGGGAAATTTTATATCAACCCAAACACTGTCTTCATTTATAGGACATCTTTTCAAAATCTTTCGTGAGATTTTTCTTCAGATTGAGGGCTAGGTCTCTCAACTTGATATCTTGCTGCCTTAGGTTGAATTCTCACAGAAGCAGAGCCTGAGACAAGGATTCAGATACAAGAAGCATATTTGAAAGGTGATCCCAGAAACTGTTAGGGAAGTAGGAGGAGACAGGGGAGAGGAGGAAGCTCATAAAGGATGCGTTCTCCAGCAAGTTGCCACTTTGGAAAACCAACGTTCTATCATGTTCTACATAAAAATGGAGAACAAGAGCCTCAGAACTAAGTAATCTGAAGGCAAAGAGAGCTAGGGAGTTTATCCGTCAGCTCCCTTTAGGCATTGGATGACGGATGCTCACAGGCAGCATCATTCCCTAGCACCTGAGGTCTGCCCCTAGCTAATGTAGGCAGAACGTCTCTAAAGAAGAGAGAAGGTCTAGCAGAGTGTAACAGAGGTGGGGCGTGGGAAGCCAGGTGGCATGCCCTTGAGGTGGCAGGTATAACAGGACAGGTCATGGGGGTACTGACGGCATCTGACACCTGCACGAGGGACCGATGGGATTCTGCGTGTACTGCTGTTTTATTGACAATCTTATTAAGATAAGTTGAAGACGAGATATTTGGTAGTAGTCATCCATCCTGCAGCAGCCCTTGATTTCACAAGCAGAGATACAGGAGTCTCCCTGTCTTCCACACTTTTTTTCTTTTTTTTAATGTTTTATTCAGAGGC